TTCATGACATGAGAAAACATTTGAAAGACAGCTTTGTTTACTGTAACATATATTTCATTGACAACAATTGTAGCCAACCAAGGATCAGTTCATGATACAAGCGTTAGCATTGTCAGAACTGGCCCCAGAACATAAATACTCAAAATAAAAACCTCTTTAGTATTTACATAAACTATGATAATAACAACACTTGGTTATGTTAATCCATTTTAATGATCACCATACACTGCTTTCATTATTATCCCATCAATTTATTTCTTAATTTTATGATTTGTTTTAAATTAAAGCTTCACTACAGATGAGTAATCAGTAGTATAAGTCTACCAACCTGTCTCCCAAAAGTCTAATCGAGGCTCAAATTTACAGCATTCGTGCGTAAAATTCACAATTATGCAATTTATGTACACATTCGCATAGTTTGTTTTCATTTAATGAGTACTATTTTGTGCGTAACATACATTATAATTCAAGCACCGAAGCAATTCTTTACTGTTCTGTAAAAAAGCCCGGCCTGTATTTGTTCCAAAACGTAGGTGCACTTGTTAAAATTTTCCCTATTTTGGGAAAACTACATCATTAAAATTGACACGACTCAAGACTTTTGATGTCGCATTCAATCACTTCCCTTTGTTATGTTTGATGCAGGAGTGATGTAGCACATGACAGAAATCAAACCCTGTCACTGAACACAGATTTTCTCTCATCAAAATATTGCATAAGCAGAAAAAAAAGAATAAGGTTATCACAAGAATACCGCAAAGTTTGTATTTAGGCAGTACAGGATCGCATCAACCTTTGTTGCACATCACTCAATATGATCACCTTGTGCATACTTATCAGTAATTGAATGATAACTTCATATTACTAAAACAAAATACATTTCAACTAACATCAGCTTTGAAAATAACATGTCCTAGTCAAGACATGTACAGTAATGTACAAGGGTGTTAGTACTTTAATTAGAGCTGATAGTGATCATATATATGTAAATTAGCGATATAAATGTAGATTTGATGACAAAAGGGTTAAGCATATGATGGCAATCTACTTTAATAGTTACTACTGTCAAATTGAAGTGACACATGCATCACACTCAATACGACAAAAAGTTGTGACAAAAAATGTTCTCAAAATTGGATTGCATGAGACTGAATCTTTATGTCTGTAAATAATTGCAAAAATATTCACTCTATTAGTATTCCATACACATGTGTTAATGGTCAAACTTCAATGATCTAGAATACAATAAATGAAATGTTTTGTTTGAATGTGCTCAGATTGGAGATACACTTTTAATAAAGCAAATACAGGATAGATGCCCGTGCCAAAGTAATGAACAAAATCATACATCCTGATGATGGTGAAATCTTCTCCATCACAACTACAATGTAGTCATGCAGCGTACAGAGCTGCTTTTGGTCAACCTGTCATTGAGATTTGCGTAAATCACCTTCATAATGTATACTTGCAACACATATTTCAATTATAAGTGTTAGCCCACCACACTGAGGATTGAATAGTACCGGTAATGGTAATTCTATGTTTTATTGAAACTTTTCAATATTTTTAAAATTTGAAACAAAATGAATTGGCAGACATTTGTTACCAAAGATGTTTGATGTAAAGTGTGTTAAAATAAGTAATTTAAAGCGTGGTGGTCGTCGCGCAGCGCGTGTTCGAATTTCATATAAATAAACATTGTATTTTACAATATTGTATACTTCGCTATGAGTCTAATATCGAACAGGACGTGGCACGACGACTGCCGCCCTTTAATTATGCAACACGAGCATGACAAATAAGCTTTATATGAATGGGATCAATGAGTTAGTGCGTTACTGACAAAAGCGCAAAAACAATGTGTTAAAGGGTAGAGGCTGTCACGCAGCACATGTTAAAATTTCATGTAAACTATGTATTCTACAAGTGGTATGTACATCCCGCTTTGAATATGCAACCTTAAGGCGTATAATGGGCAACGCAAATGTGGAAATTGACAGGATGCACAAAAGTTGTACTGCAGGTAACAACAAAACAGAAGAGTAAGAGTAGGATGATAGGGAGGAGTTCCTCTCTAAAAACAACCACAATCACATCACAAACACAAACCAAGTAGAAATTTAACAGTTACCAGACAAATATTTACAACACTCCAAGTTTTGAATTAATGTGAAAGGCATGTAGTCATGAAAAATATTAAATTTATATTAAGATTAGCCAGGCTTGAAGACATAACTATAAAGCTTATAAAAAAAACATTAAAATATTCACAAAGCACTCTTCCCCAAAAAAGAAATTCTTTCAGACCTCCAATTTTATCACAATGGCTAAATAAAATCAGTCACATGAACTAATGGATGTAAAAAAATAATAACTTCTCATATACAGTTGGAACAAAAACAATAACGTAAATACAATTTTGCATTCAATATTCGGCGTAATCATTTAAGCGTTTCTTCACCAGCATATACAAACGAATGGCCGAGGTAGTACCGAATAGTATCATCACCTCACGCTCTGCACTTAGACTATCATGCCACCATGTGTAGACATCATCGTCCAGGAAGGACCATGCTTCCAATGGAGTAGCATCCTCGTCATCGTTGTCACGACCGGTTATCGTGTCAAGATCCAGCATGGTATCATTTCTCGTTGAAGACATTCGGCATGTTGTCTGCACGTTGGATGTGTCAACTTGGACGCCAAGTTCTGAATCGAGAAATAAAAGATGGGAGTCATGAAAATCATTTTCTAGTGCTACTTTATTTAATTCAGGGCGATGATCTCTATTTCTACAAATGGCCAGGCCTGCAGATTCCTTTGTTCCCCATTGATATTGGAGTGTCTGTAGAGACCTTCATAAGGCAATGTGTTATTTTGAATATGTACGTGAAGACGTCCGGTCAGTCCAAATAAAAAAATAAATATTTTTTTTTTTTACAATTTGAATAGAGAAGTCATTTGATTGGCAATCACACATATAGTCGAGCTATAAATTTAACTGCAAGTGTAAAATTTATAATTTATTTCACATTTTAAATAAACCATTCTATACTAAAAACAACAAGGTTGTAAATTCATTAAGTCTGTAAATTACACGCTTGCACGGTGTCAATGTTATTTATAATATCGAGGTCACGACCTAACAGCTCTTTGTTCGGGTTGTTTTTGTCGCTGCTCACACAATAACACGGAATATGCCCGTGGAATGTGGCGGACACACTTACCGTACACCCAGCAAAGTGCACGTCGCACCACCTCCAACCACTTCTGACGAATCCGGTTTTCGTACTGATCCCATTCCAGTTTACCGGTACCAACAAATAAGCTCTCTTTTGCTGAACAGCCATTGCAATTCGCACAGGAAACCTCCTCTCCATCACCGCCAAGTTTTGTTGTGCATCTGTACGCCAAGGCGATAGTACGACTGTTGCTTTCTAAACCTTCATCATGACTGCTGATTTTTGATAGATGCACTCGACAGACACCGGAAGTGAAAAGAAAGAAAAGTATAACGAAAATAGAGCTTTGTCCTGCCATGTTTGTTTCTCTGTGCTACTGCGACACCAACTGAAAATACGTCATGCGCGGTATTATAACTAGCCTAGGGAGTCAAATTGCCACGGCTCGGCTAGACTTCGGTAGTATTTTCCAAAACAAGCTGAAGGGTTGATTATTAGAGCTGGGAAGCAGATGATCGTACGTAGAGGTTTATTTCAAGACCTACTTGAAAAAAAATATATTTTGTTGGTAATTACATTGCATTGAGGCGGGTATTTTAACTGCCATTTTTATTTTAGTTTGTTATTGTCGTTCAATATTTATTTTCATTAACTGTCATTTTCAGTTTTTATTGTCGTTGAAAACTATTAACAAATTTCAATTATTTTTTTCATTATATTTTTATTATTCAATTTTTGTTTTTTTATATTTAAACATCATACCTGCTTTGAGAAAATTTACTTTTAATGTTTTACTTTTATAGTTCACATGCTGAAATTGTGTCACATAAAATTTACTTTTATTGTCATCCGTTTGATAAGTCATGCCGTAATTGTTGCCAAAGTATTATCGGCTCCGCCTCTATGTTTATTTTCAAAAAATAAAACACGGGTCAAAATTTGCAGGCCATGTACCGGCGGTGCACTGAAACACAGAAGTATGTTTGTTAGTACAAGTGCGACTTCCTGGGCAATAAACGCGCATATTTCTTAATAATAATAATAATAATAATAATAATAATAATAATAATAATAATAATAATAATAATAATAATAATAATAATAATAATAATAAAGGACAATAAATGTCGGCTGTTACCTGTATTACCTGTGTTACCCTGTATTAAATAAACACTTCCGTCGAAACGACATTACATGTTAAAGTATTATTATATTATTTGTAAATTGTGGACCAAACTGTTCAAATATTTAAAGAAACATAATAGTTATAATTTTAATGATCTGGTTATTAAAGGTACTCGACATTGCATTGAAACACGAGTCGAAAATACGTAATAATTTTGTAAATGACTTACATGGGCAAACGAGCTCGAGTTACAAACTTCGTAGCAACAAAATACATACCAACAATTACACCGTAACTAAACAACCAGAGAGCCCTAGTTTTACAGAGTACAGTCAAATATTATTATTTTTTGTATTTTTAAAATCATAAGAAAGAATTTAACAATTTAAGATGTGAATGAACATGTCGTTGCTAGTCATATCGTTTTATACAGCCTGGGTGTACACGATGGGGTCAGCACTATGCACGATTTACCTACTGGGATGTGTCGATAAAATGTTATGGTTTATATCAGAGGTACATTACTTGGGGTTTGCAACGCGCATAGTACTGTATGGTGACATCATGTCAAGATCCCATTCAAGTCTCATCTCGTAAATAGCGAGACTGGTGCTACGACCTTCTAACATGAGATAGGCGGTTTGTAATAAAATAATAAAACATGTATTACCACATTCATAGTGAAAAAATGTAATACATCGAAAATGTAAAGAAAATATAGTTATCGTAATCCGTCATATCGTGAGCAGCTATTTTGATCCACCTGGACATTCCAGTATCCTAGTTACCTCGGGCATGCGCATTCGAATTTTTCTGAGTTGGAACACTTATGCGAGAGCGAGATTGAAACGGGATCTTGGTATCATGTCACCGTAGTTGCAAACCCCAAGTAATGTACCTCTGTTTATATTTATTGTATTCCTATATTGGTATGCTTCAACTTACTGTCACCCATCTCGCATATATTACAAGCAGAAATCGACAGTTTCCCAGTCTGAGTCCGCCTACAGTGGTAAAAATAATAAGTAATATTATGTGTAATTATATTTTATGCCCTGCTTTTTTTTTATCTGGATATATGAGACATCAAACGTTGTAGTTGATATAAATGGAATAATTTTTTTAGATATAATATGGGTGTAATTTTGTTAGCTGTCAAACTATAAACATGGTCACACTTTTGAGGGTATGACGGCACCCCCCCCCCTGTGTTACAATGTATTCAGGCGTGAATTTGTGTTACTGAATACTTGGTGAATACTTAGGGAATATTTGATTTCCGAATCCTGAAATATTCGTGTACGCCTACGCTCTCGCTAGAGGGACACTTTCCCGGGAGGAGAGAGAGTTCTTAATCGGCTTCCCGAGAGAATTGAGCAACTTCAATCCAATTTCTAAGTAGTTGGTTATATGAATGACAATGCAAGGTGGTTGCCAACTTGAAGTAATTCTGTGGTATCTGTACGATTGAGGAATTAGTAGACAAAACAAAAATGATGTTTTTTTTAAAAAAAATGAAAGAATTTTCTCAAAGAGTTCTGGTATTTCAAAAAAAATTACTTACGCATTCCCATCCATACACAGGCGAAACAGGAATACAAAATAAAAAAATACAAATATAATAATGTTGCACATCGGGTATTATAATTCAAAGTTGACTTCTTCACAATGTGGCTACAACCAAAATGTGCCAATTTGGCCAAGCATCTGTTATTACATTGTATATGTGTTATTAAATTGCAGCATAAACTTGAGGAATACTTTCAGTGGTTAAGAGGGGTCTGGTTAACAGCTATTAATACCAAAGATCACAGAACGACATGAAAACTGAAACTGCGGAAATATTTTACCAAACAAGGAAACCGCTCGTTATAGTTCCTTGTCGATCCACATAACACAGCATCGTTACCATCATGGGGGGGGGGGGTCGTCACCTGGGCACACACGGGAATTGAGTCCCGGGCGACCATAACAACACGCTAAAACGCAAAGGCTCGTGGGTAGACGCTATGACCATTTGACGCATGCGCAGGTGACGACTCCTCCGCTTTAAATATCTTGGCGTATGCTATTATGTTATCCACCAATAGCTGCAAGCCATTGACAGATTATGTAGTTTCTATAGGTATTAACTCCCATGGGTAAATGGCCCTATAAATGCTTACTACAGAATATTTTTAAACATAATTACTACGTTCACGTTACTGGATCTGGGCACGTGCCGAAATTGTTAATCAGTTGTATTTGCAGAGGGATTACAGCAGTTGTGTTCACGTTATTCAGGACCCACTTAGGACCGACTGGGCTCGTGCCGAAATCACGCTCTCATTCGTCGATCTGTTGGCCCAAACGATACGCATATGACGATAATATTATTTGCTATAGTGAAATTATATCCATTTGTTGCAATGCTGTTTATTACGAGCCATCGTGCACGCGAACGGCAAAGAAGATTCAAAACACAATTATTTTTTTCACGTCAATGTAAAATGTGCAAGAAAATAGAGGTTGTAGCAGCACATAAATATGCGTCGCTGATGTTTACCATTCGATAGGATATACGCCCATTATATGTTTCAAGTTTATGTTGACGATTCATTGCTTAATAAGCATGGGATAGCAAGCTTAATAAGCATGGGATAGCAAGCTTAATAAGCATGTGATAGCAAGCTTAATAAGCATGGGATAGCAAGCTTAATAAGCATGGGATAGCAAGCTTAATAAGCATGGGATAGCAAGCTTAATAAGCACGGGATAGCAAGCTTAATAAGCACGGGATAGCAAGCTTAATAAGCATGGGATAGCAAGCTTAATAAGCATGGGATAGCAAGCTTAATAAGCATGGGATAGCAAGCTTAATAAGCATGTGATAGCAAGCTTAATAAGCATGGGATAGCAAGCTTAATAAGCATGGGATAGCAAGCTTAATAAGCACGGGATAGCAAGCTTAATAAGCACGGGATAGCAAGCTTAATAAGCATGGGATAGCAAGCTTAATAAGCATGGGATAGCAAGCTTAATAAGCATGGGATAGCAAGCTTAATAAGCATGGGATAGCAAGCTTAATAAGCGTGGGATAGCAAGCTTAATAAGCGTGGGATAGCAACATGTACGCGATTTTCTGTCAATATAGTGACACCACGGTACTAAATAACCGGTACTACTACTAAGTAACCGGTACTAAATAACCGGTACTAAGTAACCGGTACTAAGTAACCGTGGTGACACGTTACATATAGTTGCGTCTTGCATGCATATATTAAATAATAATCTACAAGTATTTTTATATTAATTTGATAGTTTGGTCGAGATGCATTGTTTCGTAGTGTGTCATTCATTTTTCTCTAAAAGTAAAAAAAAACTTTGAAAACAAAAGTTTTGAATTGTACGTTTCATATTCAGAAGATAAACATATTGATAAATCCTTGAATTCCTGGATGTGTATTGTCGCCACGTTACTTTCATGTCATACGTGTTCAGTAACTTGAAACTTGACTGCCATAATAAATAAAATAACACAGTGTGACAGGACTTGACACTCGTGAACATATAATAGTAAAAACCGGTTCCACACAACAGCAATGATGTAACGATGATTATACGTGTTTATGAACATAGGTGGCGGCAAGAAATTGAGCATGAGGGGGAGATCTTACTAGGGGGTCAAGGGGCGTACTCTAACTTAAAAAATTTGAAATCTATACCATCTGAAACGCTATTTCCTGCATTTTCAAAGACAAATTGTGCTGACACAAAGAGTATCAGCTTGATTTGGGGGGGGCGACGCCCCGACACATTTGTTCCGCCTCTCTGCCCCCTGTGCCGCCGCCACTGATTTTTACTTACGAAATACCGAAACTAGCATGCTAATGGGCATGTTTATTATATACTAATTGATCAACAAACGGTTATAAAGTATATTTCTTTGCGATTTTCAAACAATTACATCTATTAGGTGTATTCTTAACCCCATAAAGAGAGCTCTAGAACGCCGTCTACCATGGAACGGTTTTGAGTTTATCATGTTTAGCACTATAAAGTTTTAAAACGCTGGTAACTTTTTCTAATTTAATTTAATTTATCTTTATTTTGAAATTTTCTAATCGACAATTGCACCTTGTATTGTTTACGCTTGATAACATGGATAGCATAGGACCCAACAGAGCAATCTCTTTCCCCATATCTTGTAACATACTAGTATCACAAAGGCTTTTTCAAAATTAGAACTTACAAAATAAATTAATCCTAAATTAAAGAGGTGATCGTGAATGTGTTTTTTCTAGTGTTTTGAAAAGAACAGAAAAAGCGAAACCCGAAGTCGTCAACTGAAATGCGTTTGAAATAATAATATCAAACATATCCATATTATTTGTCTATAAACCCTGGTGGTTACTAGTATTTCATTGTCTTCCAGTCCTATTGTTTTTTCCATAGGGTCTACAAAGGGTTGACTCATGGGGGAGGAGCTAACCGTAATTACTCGACAACTTTAAGACAGATTGATCAAGAAACTGATCGGCATATATTGTACCTAAGACATGGGTGATATAGCTGAATATGAACAGCAATGTTTAATCATGTGTCTGGACCACGAAGTGTAAAAGTGTTCATAGGTGTGGCTGTAATGGTGCGGCGAACCGGTACGACGAACAATGCACTTTTCAACGACTTTGGTAGAGTTTATTGCAATCATCGAGGGCTTTAACAATACGGTCTTACGATAAGTTAACGTCGGTTAATTTATGAATATCGACATGAACGAGAGACATTTTTAACATAAACAAAAAGTCGATAAACGTTTGCCCATTTTCTCAATTTCACGGCACTCGTAACAAAGTATGTCCCTCCATTAAGTGTCAAGTCGGTGTACCCTGTTTAAAATGGAAAGTCCTGAACTCGTTCGCATTGACGCGCCCCTTGTATTGACAACAACTATTCGACAGAGAACCACTGACTTGTCGTTGGAAACACACCCAGCAGGTATTTTATTTTCTCGTACACTAATCGTTTAAATCTGCACACAGTTACATTATATAATTTTGACATTATCAACCGTAGAATAGTCAAATCTCTCAGGTTATGTACGAGAATGTCAAAACTAACCATGTAATGCTAAACTGGGACACTCAATGGACTTTGGAACTTTAAATTCCACATGTTTACGTTGCAGAAGAGAAATTTCACTGAAATGACACTTTTTAACTTTACTTCACGGCTGACTGTGTGATTTATCTCACAACTCGAAGTTATTTGCTTTACCTTCGAGACTAAAAAGTACTCGAGTCTAGAGTTTGTGACCGCTGGTAAAAAAAAAAATCACGAGACCACTATAACTTCACGGGACAACAATGAGTGCCAGCTCAGCACTTACATACAGGTAGACGGCACAGTAACCCGATACCATTGAAAACCGGAAAAAAACTCAGCTAATATTTGCTTAATGTCCAATATTGTGTGAAAATATTACTTTAGGTTTCCGAGCTCTATGAATCATAACTGATTACGGATATGTCAGCCCCGGTTTTTACGGCCAAGTCGCGCCCTAGTTTTGTCCTTGGTTTATAAAGGTGAAAGGAATAAAACAAGTAATCGAGGTCTCGGGGTATGTGTCTCTATTCACTAGACAAATATCGCAATGGAAGGCGAGAAAGCCAAAGACAGATATATACTGGTACTGAAAGACGGCACCGAAGTGCCCGTTGGAGATGATGTACCGGTAACATACGATAATCCAGTAGCCCAGAACCAAGCTGAAGACGTCGACATAATAGTTCCGGCGGTAAGTTCATTCAATTTAGTCCTTATTTTCTAAACAGGTACATGTCGGTACTTGTTCTTACTCAGTTTGTGAGTGAGATCTATTTTTACCTCCATGGTTTTTGAATGTTATTTAATCACCTTCATAAGCGTTCCACATCGGCTACTCATTGCAATTGTATACCTACAGTCTAGTGTGGGGTGGAAAACGAACAACCAATTGTTGAACTGCATTGAAGCCTGATCCCTGAAGGTCACATGACCTCGCAAAAGCTGTGCATTCATTATAAAACACTTTACGATGTTGTTATAACAAGTAATACAATTTAGGGTCCGGTGTGTTGTAATTTTGTTCGCCAGCAAAAGTTATACATTGCATAAATATCAGAGTGGGTATTATATTAATGTATATTGGGTCAACCCATTCCCAGTTAGATATGTCGCTCAATGGAGCCTGGTCCACATTCTATTCTTACATTCTCTGCATCGCGGACCGCCTTCTCATGAATAAGTTACTGACAACTACCTGGCTAAATGATTGATATATTTGGCTTATGAACATATGACCGCAGAGAATGGAACGACTCGAAATGTATGATTGGAAAACTATACATTTGAAATAATGGATCTGTCTGTCGGTAAACAACATCAATGTGGAATTATTGTTTTTTATCCCAAGATGTCCCAGTGCTTTGGGATCCGTGGTCGGGCATTAACATTCAGGAAGTATGAATATTGATATGCACTCAGTAAAATGCAATATACTGGTAGTGAAACCCGATATGCTCTGCCTGTGACAAAAGCAACAGTTGATATATAACCAATGGAGCTCAGTGGCATACTTTAACAGTCTGTAATTTCGAATCGCAATTTATTCATAAATTATTATATTTTTAACTGTTTTCTAAGATTCACACATTTCGGCGAATTAAGGTTGAATTCGGTCTCAGTCGACATTTGTCAGTAATAGACAACCCGTATCTCAAAAATGCATTTTAAATATTTTAAATCTGCGTATTGAAACTGACATGTGATCACACAAAGTTTGTACTAAACGAATTATTCAAATCGAGGGTCAATTTTACTTTATATCCCCCTTTCAATGATTTGAGAACTCGGCTTTTGATTCATATTTGTTTTGTTAATTTCACTTTTGTCAAGTTTACTTCAATATTTCAGCCAGAATACTCGCCTTTTTCCATGAAAAAACGAGTTGAACTTGAAACTAGTTAAAATGTTTGTGAAGTTGACAGTACAGAGTATTGATAGCTATATTTAATGTTAATTAGAATTAATATTTATTTTGCGGCGCGTCTCTATTTTCAAAAGATGCTGTAGATATTTATACAATTTGGCTGGGGACAATTTCGATTCGCAATTTAATGATATATATTCGTCCAACTTTAAACAGGGTATAATCTCAATGCAACAAATTTTACTGTAGAACTTGTCAATACGAGATTTGGAGTCAAAAAGTTAAACCTATATATTAATTTTAAATTGCGTAAAATACTCTCAGTCGTATTCGGTACTGCTTAAACATATGTTCAATCAATCACGAAACACTCAGGACGAAAAGGTCTGGGACAAAAACAGCAGTGGGACGAAACGGCATTGAGATGAAACGGGATTGGAGCGAAACAGCGTTGGAACGAAACGACAACAAACCACTTGACCAGCCCACAGGCGAATGCCATGAGACGACCATTCATGTCGTGTGGTGTAAAGTACAAACCTTCATTTGACTATAAAAGAATACGATGTCAATAAAAAAACGTCTGTCTTTATTTGGTGCAATGCCCGAAGTGTGTACACTGTGTCTATGGAAGTTTAACCTTGATAACCAGTTGTTTCGTGTGCCCATTTAAGAAGCGAGTATAGTAAAACAAGACGATGAAATAATGACATTCATTTCGCTATCCAGGGTCGGTCATTCATTCATTCATTCATTCATTCATTCATTCATTCATTCATTCATTCATTCATTCATTCATTCATTCATAGATCAAAGGACTGCTTTTAATAGACGCAACGATCATTTTATATATTAATGAAGACGTAAAAATATTCGTTTTGGACAAATAAGTATATTATTGATAGTCTATAGAATTTTCGACCCATATACCATATCTTCACAATACAATTTGTAGTTTAACGCACGCTTGTGTAGAGCGTAATTGATTTCCATATTGTTTACGACTGGGAAACTAAGGTCCTTAAAAGGGTAGTTGAAAAACAACACGCACATAAGTAGTTAATGACGAAATGTTTTTAATTGTGATCCAAGAAAAACGCATAAAATGTAATTTTAACTACAGTTTCCATGGACCACAATGAAAACACATTTTGTCAGTAAAACCCCACTAAAAGTGACGCCATTTTTTATACTTCTAGACATGATCAACTTGAAGTACATTGTAAGACATTCTGTATTTTTCCCCATATGTCACTGACTAACATAATTTTATGACAGATGCGGCGGCACAGAATTTTGCATGGGCCGGGGTGGGATCTGCTCAACAACCTTGCACCGAAGGGCATGCTCCTCTTAAAATTTGAAAATCTAGAACCTCTGGAAAGCTATTTTCTGCATTTTGAGGGGCAAATTTTGCTGACACAAAGGGGTTTCAGCTTGATTTTGGAGGGACAACATATTTTTCAAGGGGGCGTTGGCCCCTCTGCCCCTGTGCCGCCGCCACTGTATGATTTTGAAATATATCCTTGCCACGGAAAACAGTGGTAAAATGTCCTAAAACAGAAAAAGCATGTTATTTTCACTCAATTTTGTACGATTTGCTCTGAACCGAGCACGGTAGCCTAATGTTTTCATTCACTTTGCTTCATCTTCTTGACTTGAAATGTAAGATATATAAAAATAAATAAAATGACATTAGTTTTACTTTTGAGTAGTATTCAATCTTAAATATTCCAAATTCGAAAAACAGAAAAAAAAACGGATACAGTAAATAGCAGTAAACAAATATTAAACAATGGTCGTAAGATGTCTTAATGAATAATAAATACTTGGGACATGTTGGCAGAGCAACCACATACATGTCTTTGTTGTTTACTTGACACGTGAAGAAACAATAGAATACTTTTGTTATCATAGGAAAGCGACGGCTAGCGTTATTGTCATCGTGTCGCGAAGAACAACGGAACTTACACTACAATAACAGCGTCGATCGCTCTGTAAACTCTCCTATCTATCAGTCTGAGAAAGATGTCATAATTTGACTACTAAATATAAGTTATTTTGTGTAGATTGCAGAATATCGAAACTCTAGTTCCGTAATATCTGTGATCAGTACCATCTCATGAGATATAGAAAAAACAGCCTTTGAAAATTCAAAGGTCGTCTTTTGTATTGTTGAGTGTCACATATAATGATTAACTAGGATGTCCACCGTGTATAGAAGACGATTGTACTAATGGGAACGCCAACATAGACGTTCTTTCAAATGATCATGTAAAGAATATATTATATAGGTTATAGAACCGGGCGAGTCATTGTATAGAATTGATGCAACATCAGTTCTTACAGACGAACAAGTACTATAAAATGAACTTTGTCTGTCTTGTTGTCGGCATACTGGCACAGATTCAACGCTTTATTGTTGGACCAACCTGCATTACAATTAAAGAGCGCATGCGTAGTAAAGACAAATTCTACCACAGTTCAAAGTTGATATTTCCTGTAGCCATTTGTAAATAAACTGATGACTTCGCGACCAGGAGAATGTGCATTATAAACAGTTTCACTTCGAAAAAAAACTTCACGCAATTTATTATGGTCGCGCAACAAATTCAATATAAGTCGTCGTCTTAGCCAACTGACCTACTGTTTATTCATAATCACGTGAATTCTAGCGCGAGATTGTATGTATCTGTTTATTTGAAAAAAATATATATACACGCCCGGTTTACATACGATCATAAACTATGCACACTGAGGAAGTTGTGCAACCCTCGCTCGTTGATTTCCATCATTTTGTAATTTTGTTACCATAAAACTGTCCTTTCATTAATAATCTTCGCTGACGTCAATACAAAAACGTATAAATTGAAATTCACACAATCATTTATGTATCAATAAGTCAAAGGGATATAAGACCCGATATCTTTTTCCATGCTCGACAACGTCGGCATAACAGCTTGCAGTCAACCGACTTCACCTGGGGAATCATGGTTTGGGCAAATGCGTCCCTGGACGCCAACTGATTGGTTGTAAATTCACCAATCAGGGAGCGTGTTTTTTTTTTTAATCGGGGGCGGGGTCGTCACGTGCGCACGCGCGGGAATTGAGGGTAGCCACTTGTTTGTAAACAATGACACGCTATAGCCACCTGACGCACGCGCATGTGACGACTCCACCGCTTTAAAATAAAACTTACTGATATTGTCTTTGTTACTTAGGATGCTGTTGGTGATAACACAGTACACCCAGTATACGTTGTAGAGAAGCTTGTTGAAAAGAAGAGATACCCACACGATTATTTGGCTTGTTCTATTATCAGCATCTTATGTTTCCTACCCCTAGGAATACCTGCTCTATACTGCTCAACCAAGGTACGTGTCAACTCTTCAAGTATAGTTCTTGCATACCAGTTTCCTGGCGATGGTGTGGATGTGTTGGGTTGGGCAGGGTTGTGAACTAGTAGTAGTTTAAAACGTACTATGTGTTATTGGGTGGTGCCTGAATAGAATAGAATAGAATAGAATAGAATAGAATAGAATAGAATAGAATAGAATAGAATAGAATAGAATAGAATAGAATAGAATAGAATAGAATGGAATGGAATGGAATGGTATATTGAAGATAATATTTGGTAATCGTAGTCCTAAATAACTATTAAAAATGGAATGGGATGGAATGGGATGAAATGGAATAGAATAGAATAGAACCTGGATCAGAGAGAGCTTCAGTTTGACTGAATACTTCAAACATGCATTACATACAAATTATGTATTGGGGTGTGCCGATAAAATGGGATTCATTACGGGTCATATTTATTGGATATTCGATTGGAATACAAATTATTAATAGTTTTTAACCGTTTATATACCTCAATTAACTTTCCTCCATACCTGTTACATGTCTTCTTGTCTGAGTCATTTACAGTGGATAAGGTTTAGGATAATGATTGTGGTTAAGATTATCATTTTGAATTTTAGTTTCACATAATGTTATACGGTGTAACATCGCTCTCCATAGTTGATATTCGGCCAACTGGCCTTAGCTGGCTCGCACCTCAGGAATCATGGCACACCAGCCACAACATCAGGCTTTATCTGCTCCCTTCTCAATTGTAATTCTACACCAAGAAATCGGATTTGGAAAAAATGCTTGTACTAAGAACAGAATACGTAAACTTGAATCCACAATACAGTCCCGGAATACACATAATCAACGGCATACACATAATATGTAGCGGGAGGTGGTCGTTATACTCGTACGTGCCTCGGTACACCAAGTTAACATGTTTTATTCAATTTCACCTCTTACAATAGCCATTGACGTTGACAAATAAAATAGTACGAAATATGCAATTTGTGGCCATGGATATCGTGTAGGGGCGGATGTAGGAGGCAGATAGAGTGCGCATTTTTACAATCATTATTTCTTTGCGGCATTGCATTTCGGGAAACATGTGTAACGATGAAACATATACTGTAAAATACTTTATTTTCGCTAGGAATTAATTTTCGTTATTTTTGCTGATGGAATGATTCAGTGAAAAAAACAGCGAATATACCCTTTTTTCTATATTTTACATTCAACTTGTTAAAAATCAGTGAAAATAAATTCCATACAAAACAGCCAAAAGATCTTTTCAGCGAAAATTAATTCCAGCTAAAATAAAGTTTCTACAGTTTTAGAGGTGTGCGCGCCCCCTACGCCACACCCAAATCCGCCACTACCGTGTGTTAACAACTGAGACTAAGAACAATAGAACACCAGGTAATTATACACAAATCATATCACCTGGTGAGCCCAACAAATAACCAAATACATGGGTTGGATAGCAATTATACGAAACGGATTTAATTTTCCAATCGTGTATGCCCTCTAGCGACCAAACATGGTGTCAAAACACATACAAGTAAATTAGTGGGGCAATTTACGTCAATGTATTTGATTGGTTGCATGGACAAAATCGAATTCTGTGTCCTAGGGACATTGCAAATCAGGTTCGACCAAAACGACTGATGTTTTGACTTAGAAACAGTCTTCCTCACAGTCTATAACTAAAAATAAGCAAATAAAAGTGTATAATTTTCTTCGAGACAAATGCAGGTACCAGGCAGTAGCACATAAAAAGGGATGTACTAGCAGTGGCATAGGCTTACCATATAAGTGCGGGGTAGATTATAGCTCATAGCAGTAGAAGTTACAACAAGAAGAAAACAAAATAGTGTCCCTAGCTAGGTGCAAACTAACATTCATTCCGAAGGGCGGGTAGTGTTTCGAATTTCTACAAATATTTGATTTCCAGTTTTTTCTAGTTTGTATGAAACTTGAGATACTTTAGTAATGCATACGAACTTGGTGTTCGTTAAATTATTATTGGAGGAATTAAAGTACTAAGGTTGTGTGTAGGCTGGCTTTTGTGTTTTACTTAAATTGTATGCGACGACGGGGAGTTCTTGAGTGGTTCGTCATTTTTGAATAGTGTAATTATTTTACATTGATGGACAGATACATCAGCGCAATATCGACAGTGGCAGCCCTTGTTTTTCAGTAGTTCGAGTCACAGAAGCGTTGTAACGTGTCGCTAGCAACGGCGACTCAATTGGCAACTGACATATTAATTATTTTCTTTGAGTTTCTGAACATTCTGTCACAGGGACTGTGATTCGGTTGAAGTTGTTATGGACGTTTAATTTACTGCGCGCTAATATTATACATTTAACATGTTAACCTAATGTGGACACGTATTCATTCACATTTATATTTAATTCTATCTCTAAAAACATATCTAGATTCAAGATGCATCACTAGCTGGCAATTACCAAGCTGCCAAACGAGCTGTATTCTGGGTAAGATTGTTGGTGTTCCTCGCCTTCTGCTGTATGTTAGTCTGGGTCGCATTGGTTATTGTCGGGGTTAACAATATGAATGAAGCTAATCCAGTGAACGCCACCGAACCAGAACCGCAGTAGGTTTCAGTGCTCATCCCAGTAACTTTAAAAGACATTTTTAACCCAGAATGACCCGAAAATGGTTTTGAAATCACATGAACCTCTGAATTGGACTTGTGTAAATGCTTCACGATGAAGAGTCTCACAACTACACTACCATACAGTTCATATTGCGTTACGTTTACTAGTACGCCCGGTCTAACCGGTCATTGTGTACATGACAAGATGATACACCCTTGATACTACACATCATAAACCCCACAGAAGAAAATTCCTAACTTTTTTTTCTACGGTTTGTACACTATATTCACACTGTATATTGGAAATGAAAAGTCAATTCACGCGATCATCTTCATTACTGTTAACACCTCAAGTTTGCTGCGTGCTATTTAGATGACTTACATTGTACAGCGATGATGTTGTTCTTACGTAAGTTTTTACAAATTCTTACGTTTGCCCTTTTTTGAGTGATCAAAGTTTGTCTGAGAAAAAAAACACGCCAAATCTGAGAATAATCTGACTGTCACGGTGTGAACTGACATTACAATACTTTAAAGCGGGGGAGTCGTCTCCTGCGCATGCGTCAGGTGGCCATAATGTGTCGTTGTTTACAAACAAGCGTCTACCCATGAGTCTTTGCGTTTTAGCGTGTGTTTTTATCGTCGCTTGGTACTCCCGCGCGTGCGCATGTGACGACCCTTCCGCTTTAACCCCATGTATAGTAATCAAATAACAAGGAATGTATTTATATTGGCTACATGAACTTATCAGCTTTCGTTGTCGTAAGTTGAATCAAATGCATGCACATTCGTGTATTTTTTTTTTTGAATTTCTAGTGTTTTTATTATTAAAAAATCCTGGTTTTGTTTGGTTTCATTTATTAACATTATATTTGATAGTGCAATTCTGTTTTCTTTATCTATCGTTTTTTTTTTGTATTATTGCCGTTGAGGGTATACGTCATTCAAAATTTACGAGTTCAGTGCTGTTTATTGTGAATCCAGGCTTGCCAAGTTTTATTGGTTTACAATCTACTATATATGCATAAACATTTGCGAGATTTGTTTTCACCCTAAAACAAAGCCCTTTTCACAAAATGTATTTATTTTTGTATCTTCTGAAGTGATATAACTAAACTGCTATTTTGTATTCCATAATTACTGTGAATTTCATAAAGGCATGAACATATTTTATGGAAATTTATAAATATTTATAAGACAATTACCACAGAAATTCAAAGAAGACTCTTTCAAAGAAGACTCTTTCAAAGAATACTCTTTTAATTCAGTTATCGGCCGATTCACCACCATGCATCCCTAAATGTGTTGTAATTAATCTAGTTGTTTTCAACCTTCATTTGAAATTTATAAAAAAAAATTATAAATATTTTTTAAAAAACTTGAACGTACCTGAAATTCACAGTATAGTAATGGGATTTGATAGTATTATTCATTTTAAAACAATTGTAAAAAATATACTAAAAATAATCGGCTTGTCGATATTACTCTATTAATAAATGTAAAATAAATAAAAAAAATATTATATTGGGACAGTTTTAAACTAAAACCAATTTTATTGTATCATATGTTTCTATAATTTAGTGCAGCGGAAAATACAAGGTTCATTTGATAAAAGTGTAACAGATCTTTTTGTGATGCAGTTACTATTAACAGTTTCCAGATGTTTTACAATCTGAAAAAATATTATATTATTTTTCGGTGCTATTATCATCTACTTTAATATTTCCTAGTGACTAGTATTTAGACACTGGCAGTAGTGGCCAACTTGAAAACACACATGATCGTTCCTATAAACTGTGCCCTCTAGCGACGAAGTGTTCCACGTGACGTAAATAGATCTTATTTGAATCCGTGGTCGTCCATCAATACAATACACTATATTCTAATTAAAGGCGACCATACGAACCAGTATAGTCAGTGAACAGTGCCCATATCACGGAGCACTTCTCTCTAGAGGGCGCTACTTGTAGGAACGGTGTAAAGCAAACCGAAATTATTCCACACACCGAGGCCGAGCCGAGACTTATGTGTATGACAAGATTTACAAAACATTGCTCAGGTTGTTGTTGATCCCTTAGTGTTCTAAAAACAAAGACATGTAATTATTAATAAACTCCGTTAATATAGAATGTATGTATGATTGCATGGCATATTTACAAATCATAGCATTGAATAGTGGGAATCACCAATTTACTGTATACTAGTACCATTCTTTGGGAATACGCTTTGTATTGACCAATTTTCCGGGCCTACACATTGTATTGACAACCAATAGCGCAATTTAAAGCGCCAAAAACGTCACGCAGTGCGCGTCAACTTTTCCACAATCCAAGGTACCGCAGCTAGTCTAGACTCGGACTTGCATACAGTCTTCGCGGTTATTTCACGGAAACCTAACTTTCGTTTTTTACACACTCTCATGATATTTTATTTTATTGAAAACAACACCAAACACCATGTAGTCAGACAATGCAGTTATTCTTTTTTTCTGTACACTGTAAACACTCGTTCGAACGAGAAGAACGGAAGTGAGAACGCCACATGTGTCTTCTGTTATATAAACTTCGCACAATGTGTTCGATGCATACATACGCAGTGAATTTTGAGTGAAAACTCAAAATGTATGTATGTATGTATATGATGGAACAATACTATTACACTGGAAAGTCACTAAAATTAAATGTCATTTAAAAAAATGTTCTAACAGTATTAGAATTCATATCAATATTCATATCAATAATAATAATGTCAAAGAGCGAAATTTCGAGATATGAAGAAATAATTTCATCTCAAAACCAGCGCAAAAATACAAATTTATGTCATTTTTCCATGAAACTAGAACCCTTGTTTTCCTGACCTTTTTTCATTTCTATATCCTAATGATATCATACCCATACTAATGAAGCATTAAGACGATATGGTATAATATATGAACCGAACCTCCGTAATGTCTGAATTCATATGTCAGCTGGTACAATTGTTTAGGCAACCAGTGACCTAGTTTAAGCCAGTTACAATACATTTTTATGGGACATGACAGGCCACGTGACTTTTAGTAGCCGTATAGATAATCACTGACCTTTAACCTTTAACTTATCGTACTTTTACTCTCTGTATCACCGTTCAGATATTTTGTTGTTTGTTTTTTCTATCAAACGTTGTCATCTATCCAATTATTTGATACGAGCTGCGTAATATTTTCTATTTTTTTAATCTATGCAATTGAGCAAAAATTACCTTTATTGTATCAAGTGAGTAAACACATTGTGATATATTATGATGTGATATGATATGATATGATATGATATGATATGATATGATATGATATGATATGATATGATGTGATGTGATGTGATATGATATGATATGATATGATATGATATGATATGATATGATATGATATGATATGATATGATATGATATGATATGATATGATATAATATGATATGATATGATATATAATATTTAAGAACGTACACAAACAAAAGAAAGGTAATGTTCAAAAGAGCAAAATACATTACTACAAGCTTAAACAGATCTAAAATACAAAAAACAACAAAGGAAAATTGGAAAGGATAAACTTGTCACAACTGGAGAAAATTTCAATTAATAGATCATCAATACTGAAATTTTGAAAAAAGTGACTCATAAATGAATAGAGCTGAGAGAAATTTCTGTCTACATTCTTTGATAATGCTATATTGACATTGAAATAGGTAATGTTTTTCATCTCCAATCTTTTTACAATCATGGATTTTACATACAGTCTTTCCTTTCTCTTAATACCTGAATGTCTCCCAGATTAAACTGGTAAGAAATGTGCCAATACTCTAAACCTAGTCCGAGCAATCCTTTGTTTTTTTTATTTGTAATGTCATCTAAATACTTTTCAAAAACATATTTATTATTCTTACATTGTTTGTATAAGTCTAATTTTGTGTTGCCCTGTATATTTATTGCCACTTATTCTGGTACACATTCCTTATTCTTTCTCTGAGTAAACTGAGTAATTTCCAATAAGTTATTAATAAACTGAGTAATTTCCAATAAGTTATTAATAATATTAATCCAGGGATAATTCTGACTCAAACTATTTTCTACAAAGACAGCATTAAGGATAATATTATTAGTTTGTTGACAATAAAGTCGTTGATAACATTTATAAAATTATATACTAGTACTATATAATGACAATTTCCCACTTCTCTTGTTTTTTAGACACGGGGTGTTCATTTCGTACCTCAGCGGTGCTTTTGGATCGGTTTTACTCGATTCAAAATTTATGACAAAAAACTCGGCTCATGCCCCTTTAATGACGTGCGACTATATATTTATTTTATTTATTTATTAACACACAACATCCCCCGGAGGGGATGAAAAGGGTTACAAATCATATATTAGTAAAAGAAAAATAACTACATAAAAAGTAAGGCAACAAAAAAGCATTAAAAAAAGATAAAAATTTGTATACAAGTAATGTGTTACTGGCTTAGTTTATGTAGGTGCTGCTGTCTTGTATTAAAACAGGTTTTTTAAATATTGCGCTAAAGAAATTGACATTTACTCGTT